GGCAGCAGGCAGGGAGGCCTCGGAGCCTGACTCCCCGCTGGAGGCGTTGCCAGGTTGGGGGAAGCAGAGGTACAGCCAGGGGGCTGGGGCCTCAGCCAGAGCACCCTCTCTGGGTTGAGGCTGGGTAGGGACACCTGGCACGGCGTCCAGGATGGGGGACCCGCAGGCCTGGGGCTTAGGGGCGTCTTACCCTGTCCTGAGGAGAGCAAGGGCCGCATCAGTCAGTGCTCCTCAGAATACCATACACAGGGTGCCCACAAAAGAGGCAGAGAGGCCTCTGGGCAAGCAAGGCTCTGAGCTTCCTGGCAGCCAAGTAGAAGAGGGGAATCTGTGGGGTCAGGATAAGATGGAAATGAACGTGAGGTCTTTCGTCGAGAGCACCAGACTCAGGGAGGCTTCGGGAAGGCGAGCGAGCGAGCTAGCTGGATGCAGGCGTCCTCTAGACCAGCGGGTACGCGACGTCCTGCCGTGCAGCTGCGCTCTGCACGCCACTGTGGGCTTCCCCTCAGCCCCACTTTTTATTTAGAAATAACCTCAAACTTGCAGAAAGGTAGGAATGTAGAAAGAGCTCCTGCACCCCTGCACCCAGGCACCCCCTCACCCAGACGCCCCTTCACCCAGGTGCCCCCTTACCCAGGCGTATATATATGTAACACACCTTGTGTGTGTGTTTTATTGTGTGTATCCATACATGCGTCTGTACATCTATATGTGTATATGTACATATGTATTGTATGTATATGTAACATGCCTTCTTGTGTGTTTTATTGTGTGTGTATGTGCATGTGTCTATACATCTATATGTGTATATATGCATATGTATTGTATATATATGTAACACACCGTGTTTTGCGCATGTGTACGTACATGTGTGTATATGTCTATATGTGTATATGTACGTATGTATTGTATATATGCGTAACACACCTTGTATGTGTTGTATTGTGTGTGTACATACATGTATGTATACATCTATGTGTGTATATACATATGTATTATATATATACGTAACACACCATGTGTGTTTTATTGTGTGTGTACGTGCATGTGTGTATACGTCTATATGTGTATATGTATTATGTACTGTATATGTACACAACACGCCATGTGTGTTTTATTGCATGTGTGTATGTATGTGCATCTATACATCTATATGTGTATATGTACGTACATATTGTATGTATACATAACATGCCTTGTGTGTGTTTTTTGCTTGTGTGTACGTACGTGTCTGTATGTCTATGTGTATATGTATGTATATATTGTATATATATATAACATGCCGTGTGTGTGTACATGTGTCTGTACATCTGTATGTGTATATGTACATATGTATTGTATATATACGTGACACACCATGTGTGTTTTATTGTGTGTGAACATGTGTATGTACCTGTGTCTATACATCTATATGTGTATATCTATGTTTGTATTTTATATATATGTAACACACTGTGTGCGTGTTTTATTGTGTGTGTGTATGTACATGTGTCTGTATGTCTATATGGGTATATATGTGTATGTATTGTATATATACATAACATGTGCGTGTGTTTTATTGTGTGTGTGTCCATACATGTGTGTGTATGTCTATATGTGTATATGTACGTATGTATTGTATATATATGTAACACTGTGTGTTTTATTGCAGTGTATGTACATGCTTTTATACATCTATATGTGTGTATGTATGTAGGTATTGTATATATATGTAACACTGTGTGTTTTATTGCAGTGTATGTACATGCTTTTATACATCTATATGTGTGTATGTATGTAGGTATTGTATATATATGTAACACACTTTGTGTGTGTGTTTTATTGCATGTGTGTGTACTTTTCTGAACCATTTGAGGGTAAATTGCACACGTTGCCCTCTGCCCCTAAACTCTTGAGTCCTTGTGTCCCGAGAACAAGGACACTCTCTTATGTGCTCACGGGAGAGCCATCAGGTCAGGAGACAACACTGCTGTGACCCATAGACTCATTCCCGTTTCGCCAGTTGCCCCGATCACGCCCTTTGTGCCTGCTGCCCCCCAGCCCAGGATCTCATCCATGTGTCATGTGATGCCGTAGCGTTCCTGCTGGTCCTGTGTTCCGATCGGTGTCTTTGGCCTCTGTCATCTGGACTAGTCCCTCAGCCCTTCTTTGTTTTTTTGTGTCCTTAGCATTTTGAAGCATAGCCCTGTTTCCCATGGTTACAGTCACATTGGCAGGGGATCCAGAGTGGCGTGTGTCCTCAGTGTGTGGCCCTGGGAGGGACATGAGGACTGCAAGGTAGTGTGTGTCCTGAAGCATTGCATTGAGAGGAATAGGGGGACCACAGGGTGACATGCATCCTCAGTGTGTGGCTCTGGGAGGTGGGCAGGAGAACCACAGGGTAGCCTGTGTCCTAGGGCATTGCATTGAGAGGAATGGGAGGCCCATGGGGTGATGTGTGTCCTCACTGTATGGCATTGGAGGGTGGGAGGACCACAGGGCGGCGTGTGTCCTCGGTGAGTGTCGTGGGGAGGGGCGGGAGGACCACCGGGCGGCGTGTGTCCTTGCTGAATGGCATGGGGAAGGGCGGGGGGACCACGGGGTGGTGTGTGTCCTCGGTGAGTGGCGTGGGGAGGGGCAGGAGGACTGTGGCTTGGCCTGTGTCCTCCTTGGACACTGCCTGGTCACTGTGAAGCTCACTGGTTGCGTCCTGCCTCCAGGTGCTGCGCTGTGTGTGTACGAGCAGTACAGAAAGGGCTGAGCTGTTGCACATTCTTAGCTTTTCCTGTTTCTCCCTCATAGTTGTGATTGGCAAGACCACCCACGGGGTGGCTACTGCTGCACAAGAGATGCCCTGGATGGGGTGGTCGGGGGCCCCTCCAGGCCTGGCAGGGGAGTGGGCCTTTGGTCCTGGGTAAGCACCCTCCACGGCTCGTTTCTGATCCCCAGAACCCCAGGGAGTGTGGACTCGTCGCAGATGGAGGAGCTGAGCCCAGAGGTGCTCCGTCATTTGCCCCAGGACAGAGGCCTGGGCGGCTGGAGGAACATGCGTCTGGGTCGACCCCAACAGTGGGCCGTCTGGCCAGGGCTTTCTCTTTTACCCCTTAGGGTCTTTCCTTTGTGAGGCTGAGGGGAAGGGACCGCCAAGGAGCAGCCCCTCAGGGCCACTTGGGTGTGTCGGCATGGGCCCGATGGTTAAGGGTATGGTTTGGGAGGCAGGTGGACTCAGGTTCGAGTTATAGCTCCCCACCTGCCAGCCGTGTGACCCTGGTGTGTCGCTTTCCCTCACGGAGCTTGGTTTCCTCATCTGTAAAGTTACAGCAAGGACAGTGCCCACCTCCTGGGGTTGTCCTGACGTTTAGCACCTGTGTGGCGCTCAGCACAGTGCCGGCCTGCAGTAGACCACTGACTGCAATGATCAGAACACTGCTGTGGTGGTTAGGGCTGTGTGTCAGCTTGGCTGGGCCTGGTTGAGTGGCTGGGCAACTGGTGGTAGTTATTCCCCATGATGAGATTGGCAATCAGCTCCATGGTGGGATCTACCACAACCAGCTGAGTAGCTCCCTTAGGGATGTGGTTTGCTTCC